AGCAGGACAAATAACTGCACCCAGAAAAGAAAAAGACAGAAACTAAGGACAACCTGTGTTTCATAAGCAGGCTCTGCAAAGGGATCTTTGAGAACTCCTAAAGAGAAAAATGGAAAGGGCTTCTTGCATTGCATACCAGTCTGCTAATATAAGAAAAGGCCCAAAATGAGCCTCTGGGTACAAGTGACAGTGGAGAACTCAAAGTTGATGGCATTGTGATAGTGTTCATGGAGACAGGTCAGATTTAAAAATGTCATTGAATGCAACACAGGAGAAAAAATATTAAAACACAGTTTTTTTTATATGCTGGATTGTCCAACCCTCTCCTGGAATGAACTTTGTTGTGTAAATTAAATGCATAGATTACATTCATAAGGATTGTTTCAGAATATGAATTTTAAAAAAGGTTTCAAAACTAGAAAATATAAAATAATTTTACAGGTATAGAAAGATATTTTAGTATGGAAAATTAGAAGGTAAAAGAAATGTTTCTGAATGAGAGAGTAATTTGTCTGGTAAAACAATATTCATGTGCTAATTGCCAAGATGAATGAGGACAAAACTAAGGATGTAAAGTTCTGAATGTCTAAGTAAGTTGCAGAAAGTTTGGGGAAGGTAAATTTCAAAAATTTTATGTGTGATTAAATTGGATATAATTTATCTATCAAGATAATTTTCTTCATTTGTTGGGCTTTATTACTTGTGGAAACTAAGTCTTAAAGTAATTAGGGTTTGCATCTGTTTGAAAGTCTGAAAAGATTACTTTGTAACTGATTAAACAAACAATTGTTATTTAAACCTACCAATATATATGACACCCTAAATATATGTGATTAGGTATATGTATGCATCTGAGAACTATAATTGTCTAAGTCTTGTCCAAGTGTTATGTAAAAGTTTATGAAATGAGTGGCTGGGGTTGTGACTTAGCAGTAGAGCACTCACCTAGCATGTGTGAGGCCCTGGGTTTGATACTGAGCACCACATATAAATAAATAAATAAATAAACAAATAAATAAATAAATAAAGGTATTGTGTCTAAATACAACTGAAAAATAAATGTTTTTTAAAAAGTTTATAAAATGAGTGTATGTAAGTTTACTGTCAAGATAACCACTAAGTGCTCTCTTTTATACATTGTATCTGACATTGAAGGGCCATGCTCTCAATTGAATACTGTCTTATATATGTTTGCTTTGAGTAAGTCAATTTCTTATCATTAACCCTGTTTTCTAAATGTATAAAAGATTTAAGGCTATTGAGTTCGTGAATCCATGCAGACCTGTGATTGCTATTACCATACACTCTGGATTCTTAATTGCACTTTAAATGTTAAACTAAGTTGAATGCAAAGCTTTTCCAAGTTGGTGTTCTCCAAGCTAAAATTATGTGTAGCAAAATCTCTGATTTGTATAAAAATAACAAATTTACTTGGTACTTATTTGTGTCATTTGTGGTTTTATAGCGGGTTCAAGTAACCTGTTGTCAATAAGTTACATATACAATTTGGTGTTAATCTTCCCACTGGAATTGGAATTTAAATGCATTTTGGAAGCTAATAAGGACAGCCTGATCTGTTTAAAGGGGAAATTCTAAAACATGAAAGCATTTTGCCACTTTTTCCACACACACACAAAAAAAATGTTAAAAGCTCTCTCAGCCTTTGTTTGAATCATGTTTCAGATGTAATGTATTGTGGCATTTGTCAGGACCTCCACCTTACCTGAGATCAAACTGCCTCCCACCTTACTACATGTTAGAATGGCTCCCAAATAGGCTAGACTTGAGCTCTTTTAGGGTTATGATAGGTGGTTGATGATAGCTCCAGTCCAGTGGGTGCTGGACTGGTTGGCTGGGCAAGTTGATAGCAAGGTGTCCTCACACCCTCTACCAATCTTCTGACCTGATGTAGCCAGCCCCATCTGTTCCCACATCCTGCCCACACCCCGCCCAGTTGATTGAAATCAGTTGCTCTTGGTGGGATGGTTGGATGCAGAATAAAAGCTAAGAAAGAGAAAGCAGTGATAAAACCACAGGAGGACAGAGAGTGTAATTTTGAAAAGCAGGGGTGGGATGTGCTAGCTGATTTTAGGGATCAATCTTTCACACTAACATGAGCAACATGGAGCCTGTGCTTGCTTTATTTATATCAGGAAACATCAAAGGTTTTGCATGGAACGTTCTTTGCCAAATAAGGTAGGAGGTTGGTTGTCCAGTTCCCAACAGGTTATGCCCAACTCAAGAGCTATGAAAGGGGTCTCCCTAGTTGAGAGGAGATAGAGGTCATGTGCCTTGGGCAATCTAATGCACTGGGGGATAGGGTGGGGGGAGTCAGTATAGTTTCCAAGGAAAAATCTAAATCTCCATGGCTTGACACCAAATGAAGACCCTCAAGTAATTCACAGGTGGCTCCCTGCACCCGCATATTTCAGAACTAGTGGAGCTGGGGAGCCCAGCTGTCTCTAGCATCTACAATGAATGCTTCCCTCAGGCAAAATGCCCCCAGTCTGAATGTTCACAGGATTGCGTGGCCATGAACAACCCATGCAAGACCCACTCACTATCTGCCAGATGAGGATGTAAGATACCCCAGGTTCAGCCATGTTGTAGTCCCAGGATCTCAATGCCATTCCACCTTGCAGAGAGACCATGAGGCATGTGCACAAAGGAGTGACCCTGCAAAGAATCAAGATGGTGGTCATTAGCACTCCCAGCAGGAGGACCTTAGGGCAGCCAAACCCTGAGCATCCTGACACTGGACCTGCAGGCCCTGGCTGGTGTTCTCAGACAGAACTGACTGCACTTTGAGATGGTAGAAGCAGCAAACCTGCAAGCACCCTGTCCCACAAGGCCCTGGCCACTGTCCCAAGATGGAGATGGCTGTGTGCAACCAACCCTGCAGGCAACTTGGCAATGGACCTCTGGGCGACAGTGGTGGCAGTGACACCCTGAGAGTCCCCACTGCTTCTTACCACTGTCACCACTACTGTGCAACACAATTTACAAGGGAAACTCTGGAATCCCTGAAGGGCTCTGCCATTACTCTAATCCTGAGGCCAGACCTCAGAGAGGGAACTGCAGTCCCTGAAATGGGACATCAATAGGCAATGGGAGTCATTTGATGGCACTCAAGCTGCAGAGCAAAGGGGCTACTGTAATGGGCAGGAGAGTCAAAACAGCAAACAGAACAGTCTGACTCCTGCAGCCCGAGGATGTGAGTTCATGGTGTTCCTGGAAGAAAAACATGAGAGGTTTAATAAATCCTCACTGGCTCTGAGTAAACAGAAGAGTTTAAGACCAAGGGGGAAGATCTAACTGGAATAATAAAAACAGCTGTATTACCTCAATCAATTCCAAGACCAAAGCCAGATTACAAAACCAGAATGATCTGAATGAAGAAGAGGTGTGTTGCAATGTGTAAAAACTTGGAACACAAGTCTGAATGTTTTTACACAAAATTATACTTTTAATGTTAGTCCCGACATCCTCCACAGGGATGTAAGGCCTATTACCTTGGTAACAACACCCTAGGAAAAATGAAATAACCAGAACTCTTTCTGGCTACACTACCACACTACAATAAACAACTATATATCTAAATGCTATATGAACACACTCAGAAGCCCAGAAATAATGCCGAGATTGTCATGAAGTTGGATGAGCACATTGTTAACCATACAGGTTATTATCCAGTTACATATCAAAGGATTGATTCAATTTATGCTCTGACCAACAAGTATGACAGCTATGTTGATCCTTTTCCTATTCCCCACTTGGTACATGTATAGGCAAGAAGTTGTCAACTTGGTACAGGAATATTCAAGAGGTTGTCAATTTGATGATTGTAATAATGACCCATTGTGCTTTAATCTGTGCTCCTTATTATTTCAGATTATAGAATCTTGGTGCAGGATTATATGCCGTGAATTGCTCATAGCATATACCCATATATCGAAAGAAGTAACTTTGGTAGAAATTCTTCTTATACTTTGGATATTAATCCTATCCTTGAATAAATAACTTTTCAATGTAGAGAGTGTTCTGCTGTGCAACATATTTCTTCTTTTTGTTTGAATGTAAAGATTTGTTTTATTTCTACTGGAGTAAGGAAGAGAATAAATAGTATGTTTTTAAAATTTTCTCTCCACTATATACTCCCATACCCACATGTGTACAACTTATATCTAATTGAAGGTGAGGTCAGGTTGAGGAATAACGGCAATAACAACAAAACCTCTATCAAGTGTGCTGGGGTAAAACCAGGAAAAATTTTATCCCTTAAGTACATTTGTTTTGAGCCAGCAAAATGTTTGAGATTGCCATCTGGACTACCCGTTATTTTAAGAGTTATCCTTAAATTCTACTTACATAAACAAATGTAGCAGAATCACTGGTTTTATTTACTCTACAATGGAAGGAAGCACAAAATGTCATTCATTCTCTACGAATGGTCAGGGTTCTCCAGAGAAACAGAACCAAGAGACTTATTGTAGAAATTGATCTATGGATTATGGAAGCAAGGAATTTCACAAACATCTGAAGGCTGGAGAATCAGGAAAGCAAGAAGTATAATTCAGATTTAACCAAAGACATGGGACTGAGGGCTGATGGTGTAAATCCTGATCTGAGTCATGAAGTCTGAGAAACAATGACGGCTTGTCATATCCCAGAACCAGGGAAGATGGACACCTCAGATCACACAGAGGAATCTCACAAAGAATCTCACTTTTGGTTTTTTTGGGGCCCTGAAAGAATTGGATGATCCCTGCTCACACTAGGGAGGGAGACTTCTTTGTTCATGCTACTTCTTTCAAAGCAAATCTTTGTCAAATACACCTTCTGAGAAACACTCAGAAATGATGATTTACCCGCTATCTGGGTATCCCTGAGGCAGTAGGTTGACACATAAAATTAACCAGTACATCGATTGATTGCATAAAAAACTCCAAACCAATAAGATTTTTTCTTTTTGTTTTACAAAACAGAGATGTTTATTTAAATACAACAAAACATACAGAGTCCCTGAAGTTAATAGTGAAGTCTGCCATAGTATTTTACAGACATATTGCACCATCTCAAGGCAGTGTTAGTCAGCTTATCATCACTGTGACAAAACATCTGAAGACAGCCACCTAAAGGAGGCAATATTAGTTTTCAGCTCACTGTTTCAGAAATTTTAGTCCAAGTTTGGCTGACTGCATTGCTTTTTGGCTTGAGTTAAGGCAGAATAACTTTGCAGTAGGAGATGTGGCAGAAGAGATTGCTCACATTGTGGTAGAAATTATAAATAATCTATTCTTTTTAAAAAGAAAGGAAGAGAGGGAGGAAGGGGGCTGGGACATAAAGAGCCCTTTAAAGAGATACCCAACTCCTCACCTCCGAAAGTTTTCCTCTCCTCTCAATAGCACCAGAGTCAACACATAAATCACACATTTATGGGGGACATTCCAGATCCAGTCTATACAAAGGTCAAAACAAAGTGTAGAGACGTATTTGTTTACACAGAACCAGGATGGAAACTCCTTGTTGAGATCTTCTGTTCCAGTAGCCAGAGGCTAAGTGTACAATTCCATAGGTTAGCAAAGGACTTGGCCTAATGTGTTAACAAAGAGTGCAGAACTGGACTATCACAAAACAGAATAAGGGGCTCAAAGTTGAAGCTGAAGTCACAGTATCTTCATGGGGGTCATCAGATCCTGGGGTAGCAGGGGCCAGTGGGTGGCAAAGGAAAGGTATGTGTGGCTGCTATAATGGATGGGAAAGTGAAAGCAGCAATCAGAACAGTCCGACTCTTGCAGAAGTTGATTATGGCTCGTGGTGTGCCTAGAAGGGACATTCACAACGTTCTTCTCAATCTCACTAGATCTGAATAAGCAGAGGAGCTCTAGGCCACATGAGAAAGTCTGACATGCTGGAGGCCTGTGGGTTTGTACTTCAATCTTCATCTGCTCTATGGAGGAAGAGCAGGTAGTAGACTGGCAGAAGACCAGTAAGGACAGTTATTTAACTGAATCACATTTCCAGAAGCTTCTTGGGAGCATCTTCAACCTTTAGACAAGAAACATGTTACTTCAACTCTCTGAAGAAATCCTACCTCAGTTTTCCTGGGTGCTCACCTTGGGTCATGTGTTCTCCTCCACCCACAACCCAAGGGTCCTGCAGCCTCTACCACCCTCCTCCCTTCTTTCTCACAGGCCAGAATCAGCCCCAGCCCTGCTGTAGGCCTTGGTGTCTCAGGACTGAATCTGTAATGACTGGATCTGCTCCCTGACTGGGAGCCTGCTCCTCCCCCAGATAGGAGGGGCCATAGGAACTGGGGTGGGGAGAACCCTGTCAAAAGAGAGGCTCTTGGAACCTGGTTTCCAGGCCTTGGGTTACAGACACACATCTTTCTTCTCCCTTCTCCCTCAGCCTCTCCTTACCTAGGAGCAGCAGAGCTCTAAAAGTGACTGGCCCTGAACTCCTGCCTTCCAGGTTGGGTTGGGAAAGGCCTTCCCTACTCCCTATCATGGCATTAGCCATATTACTTCTCTTTGAATGTGGGCATGGAGTTCCTTTCTTTTAATAAACTAAATGGAGCTATCATGGATGGAATATTTGCCTTCCTGTGTTCCTGTTATCTCTTCACCATGCACCATGGGCCCCTTTTTTGTAGAAATCTGGTCTGAGTCAGACCTGCATAAGCTAAAACCCTTTAGAATCCACAGGCTGCCTTGGTATGGCCCCTCCTCTTTCCCATAGGCCCTGATGGGGAGGATTTCTCAGCACTCAGGGCTGAGCATGGCCAAGCTATTGCTACCAGTGACAGGAGGGAGGCCTGATTCTTCCGTCTCATCTCAGAATGAGAAGGACCAGTCAGAGTGCAGACTGGGACCTTGGGAGTTCACTTTCCTGTCCTCATTGCTCACACAGCTGCCCCGTGTCTCTCTTCCCATTCTGCCCACAGCACCTGTCAGGAAGGTCTGGAGGCCTAGGTGGATGAAGCAGGTGAGGATCAAGAGCAGGGCCGAGGGAACAAGTGTGCTGGCTGTGGACTCCTGGGAGACTCTGTTTATGATGGCACTTGAAGGTCCTGAAGTGGAAACACAAGAGCATTAGCCCTTGTTCAGAGCAAAATCTGTGGAGATGCCTGCTCAGCTCCCGGTGCCCCACATCACTCAGGCAGGCACATAGTTCCTAGACCTCTGCTATGTGGCACCTGCTGTGACAGGTCATGAGGAGGAGGGAGACAGGAGAAGGGCCAGGTCCTTAAGGAGCTCATATAGCTAATGGGAGGAGTCTGGGTGACCACAGAACTCATCCTTCCTGGTGGCAGAATATGAGGTGACCCATGAGGATGGTGGTGGAGAAGGGTCTCAGGAGCTGACATGTGAAGTGATTCACAAGAATTTCCAAAAAGAGACGAGCAAATGCCAGATCAAAGCATGTGCATTGAGGAAGAGGCATTAGGAGGTGAGAAGGGAAAAGATGGGAAGACTATACCTTTGGCTGTTAACCCAGGTCTGAGTCAAGGTGGATGATGGGTCACACACACACATAGGCACACACACAGGTAGCAGCATCTCATGTGAAGGCAGCTCCCACTTCCTCCCCCTCCTGCCAGTTACCTGTTGGCTCTAGCTCTGTTTTCCATTCCACCAAGAACTTCTCAAGCCAGGTTCTACAGTCACCCATTGAGGTCTTGTGTAAGAACTTGGTCATTTCCCTGTCATCTTCCCACTTTTCTTTCATCCTGTTGGACCCAGGATGAACCTTTGTCCACCTTCTATTGTCTGAGTCAAAGCGGAGCCACATCTGTCCATTGAAGCCAAACTGCCAGGAGCCGCTGGTGAATCCACTGGATTTAAGCTGACAACGCATCCTGCCCTCCAGAATGTGGAGACCTGCCCCCATCAGAGAGAGATCAGCCTCCTTGCTTAACAAATCCTTCGTCCCACCCAGTCCCACCTTCCCTGGTCTCCTTCTAATCTTGCTGTGTTCTATCTCCAAACCAGCCCTGTCTGGGCTTTTTGGAACAACCAACATGGACACAATCGTATCCCCAAACCCCCTATCAGCTCTCATGTCCCTAGACCATTCTTACTTACCTTTGGCCATGTCATTTTCTGCTTTAGTGTCAGCCAGTTTCTGTTTTAGCATATCCCCCATATCTCTCAGTGTGGCTTTTTGCTCTTCCCAGGTGACTGTGGCATTCACTTTCCCTCCCAGGGCACTCAAGGATTTGGCCTTGTCCATGCCACAGTCATAGGAGAGAAAATTCTTGTGGTCCACCTGGGCGTGGACTGTACACCATTGCTGTCCAGGTGCTGGCTTAGAATTGATGGTGAAGTCATAGCAAAGGGAGTGAGTCCCTGTGAGGGAAAAGGGCGAGTAAGGGTTGGGCTGGTGAGAAAGGATCCTTTATGCACCCCCTCCCCATCCCTCTGAAGGGCTGAGCTGGCAGAGCAAGAATGACCCTTCCCAAGCTGTGTGCTCCACCTGTTTATGGTGGGCATGTTTCCTTGTTTCAGGCAGATGGGGACACTACTTGGCAAGCAACCTCATTGCCAGGACATGGCCCACTTCCCCTCTGCCCATTGAACAATGCCTACACCCAGCAGCACAGGACCTTGCAAGGGCAGTGCCAGGCCTGCTGTGAGGGAAGGGCCTGCATGGCAGAGGATGTGGAGAAGCAGTGCCCTGGACTGCAGGGAGGGGGCAGTGTGTATGCTGAGTCATGGTGGGCCCAGTGATCATGGGATCACAGCTGCATGAGGGAGAGTTTCTAATTATGGTTCATAGCTTGTAGCTTGACTGTTCAGAGACAGCACTTGTGTGCCAGGTAATTGCCTTCTTTTAGGATAGAAGGTGATATCCTACGATGAATGAAATGGAAAATCCATAAGTTCAAGAACGGTAGTAGAGGAGGGATCAAAATTATCTGCTTTAGAGGATCCGAAAGTGTTTATGCCAGGTTAGATATAATAAGAAAGGCAGAAATATGCCTAGTCTGCTGTGCTTTGTAAGAAAGCCTGGGAGACTCTTGTTTATCAAATGTATTAGAAAATATCAGGTACTAGGCTGGGGCTTGGGCTCAGTGGTAGAGTGCTCGCCTCACATGAGGGAAGTACTGGGTTCAATCCTCAGCACCACATAAAAATAAAATAAAGGTATTGTGTCCACCTACAACTTAAAAAAAAATATCAAGTACCCAGAACTAAAATTAGAGGAAAGGGAGAAATAATATCAGAGCATAGCATAAATAAGTAAACTGAATTCAACTGCCCACTGAAAAGATTATTCCCCATGATCAAATGGAACACATCTCAGGGATGCAACAATGGTTCAACACTAGCTAATCAATAAATGTAATACCCCACATTAACAGAATGAAGATGAAGAAAAGGCATTTGATAAAATCGACATCGCTTCATGATGAAAATGCCAAACCACCTAGGCAAAAAGGAATACATCTCATCATAATAAATGACATATGAAAGAAGCCATCACCTAACATCATGTCAAGTGGGTAAGCACTGAATGTTTTCTCTCTCTAATCTGAAACAAGAGAAAGATGCTCACTTTTATCACTTTTAATTAATGGACTCCTGGAAGTGCTAGGTAGAGCAATCAGACAAGAGAAAAATAAAGAGCATCCAAAGAGAAAGAAAAGAAAAAAAAATACTGTTTTCAGATGAGCTGACCTTACATACAGAAAACTCCAAAGACTTCACCAAATACTATTAGTAGTGATAGATGAATTTAGCAAAGTTGCAGAATACAAAAAATGAAATTATTAGAGTTGCTATATACCAATAGCAAATAATCTGAAATAGAAATCAAACAAACAATACTATTTACAGTAACTGCAAAATATATAATAGCTTAGAATGATTTAAACAAAGAGGTAAAAGATCTATATAGTGAAAGCTAAAGCACTGTGGAAAAAAAATTGAAAAACACACATAGGAGAAATCATAGGAGAAGATGACCACATTCATATTTTGGAAGAACCAATATTGTTCAAATGTCTATTGTACCCAACAAGATTGGCAGATTCAATGCAATCCCTATCAAAACACCAAGGGCATTCTTCACAGAATTAGAAAAGATAATCCTATAATTTCCTGGGAACCACAAAATTCCTGAAGAGTCAAAGCTATCTTGCAGGAAAAGAACAAAGCAAGAGGAGTTACATAACCTGACTTCAAAATATACAACCAAGCTAGAGTAATCAAACAGCATGGTGCTGGGTTACAAACAGAAGCATGGGCCCATGGAATGGAACAGAGAGCACAGAATTAGACTCACACACCTACAGCAACCTATTATTGAAAAAGGTGCTAAGAATGTGAAGTAGAAAAATGATAGTATTTTTTATATAGAGCGTTGGGAAATCCAACAGGAAAAGGATAAAACTAGACCCCTGTGGCTCTTCACTCAGGAAAATCAACTTAAAGTAGATTAAATGGGCTGGGGATGTAGCTCAGGGGTAAAATGTTTTCTTACCATGCAGGAGACCATGGGATCAACCCCCAGTACTTGAAAAAACAAAAAAATGTTGAAGACTTAAATGTAAGACTTGAAGCTATGAAGCTACTACAAGAAAATGAAGTGAAAATGTTTCAGGACATTGGAATGGGAAAAGATTTTTTGGACAAATCTCTAAAAGCACAGAAACAAAATCAAAAACAGACAAATAGAAGAGTCAAATTAAAAAATGTGTTGCTAAGGAACTATGGGAAATTGTGCCCTTCCTCTATTCTGCCTCTATTCTCCACACATCCAAGGCAACAATTTTGGGAGTGGAGAGAACCTACAGAATGTCAGAAAATATTTGCATGCTGTACATCAGATAAGAAGTTATATATGGAACTCAAAGAACTTAATACTTAGAAAACAAACAGCCTGATTATAAAATGGAGAAAAATCTGAAAAGACATTTCTCAAAAAAAGACAAGTAAATGGCCAATAGGCATACAAAAAAGTACTCAGTACCACCAGTCATCACTGAAATGCAAATCACAACAGCAAGGAGACATTATCTCACTCCAGTAAGAATGGTTGTTAACAATAATACAAAAGAAAATAAGAGCCTGCAAGAGAATCCTGTATATTGTTAGTGGGATGTAGATTCATAGTGGGGGAGAGGTGGGAGGGCTTAGGCAACCAGGGCAAGATGGCAAGTGAGGAGGTTGGGCAGGGCCAAAACAAAGGAGCATGGGTGGAGGGGGTTGTCTTCTGATGAGGCCAACTTCCTGCTTGACCTAAGTGCTTGTGGACACAAACAGGAGACCCAGTCAGACAGACACTTCCATACTAGTGTTCCCAAGCAAGAGATCCAATAGGAAAACTAAAACAGATGCATGGACAGAGGGGGCACCAATCAATAATAGTGAGGAGAGCATGGACAGGGGAGGAAATAAGGAAAGAATGAATTCCAGAGACCATCGAAAGAACAGGCCCAAACTTTCCAACCAGATTCCTGGGTCTGAGGCCCTTTTTCTCAGAGAAGAAAAAATAAACCCATATAAACACGTTTCTTACTTTCTATCTTGATGTCTTATTCTTAGATTCTTTGCTGAATGGAGATAATGACTCTAGTACCCCAGGTGGTAATAATAGGGCTACTAGGAAAAACAGTATGGAGGTTCTCAAAAATAAAAAAATTGAACTAGCATGTGATCCGACAATTCCTCTATTGGGTAATTGCCTCAGTCTGGCTGGGCACAATTCAGGAGCCACTTGTCAAAAGAAACTAACTTTATTTTTAGAACTACAAACACCAAACAAAACAGCTCCTCAGGAAAAAAACCCTCAGAGCCCAACTGCCACCACCGGCTTCCACACGCCTCTCACCCACACAAACCTCACCACCTCCCACAATCCTCCTGCTCTTGAGGCTGATTGGCTGGGTCGTGTGGGCAGAGCCAAAGAAGTCCCCCAATGAGCAGCTGCGTGGTCTGAAAGGGCAGGGAAACAGCCCAATGAGCAGCTCTGTGGAGGACCCAATAAGCTAGATGTTGCTGGGGCCGCTGTGAGCCAATCATCAGCTGGCAGTCTGAAGGGCAGGGAAACAGCCCAATGAACATCACCGCAGAGGAGCCAATCAGCTAGATGTTGCTGGGGCCGCTGTGAGCCAATCATCAGCCGGCAGCTGGAAGTTTGCTGGCAGCTGGAAGTTTGCTGGGGCCCTTTGGCTGTGGCTCTCAACAGGTAATAGCCAAAGTAAATAAATACAGCCTGTCAAAGACATCTGCACTCCCATGTTCATTTTAGCACTGTTCACAAAGGCAAACCGAAACAACCTAGGTGTCCATCAAGGGATGAACAGATAAAGACAATGTGGTACCTACACACACTGGAATACTATTTATCCATAAAAAGAACAAAATCATGACCTCTGCAATAGAATTGATGGAAACAGAGATCACCATGATAGGGGAAGTAAGCCAGGCACAGAAGACAAGCAACATATTATCTCACATATGGAATCCACAAAAGTTGATCTCAGAAGTTGAAATTAGATGGTGTGGACAGTAAGAGGGATGGAGGGAGGAGAAAATGCTGATATGGGAACTAACACAGATAACAGTGAGAATTTCTGTTTTGTTCTGGCACAGTAGAGAGACTACAGAAAACTGTAACATGCTGTTTATCTCAAGAAGCTGGAAGAAAGAATTTTGAGAGAGGATGGCAGAATAGAGGAAGGGCACAATTTCCCATAGTTCCTTAGCAACAGACTTAAAACACAGGAAGAATGCTTCTTAGAGAGATGGGTAACTAGGGGAACTCACTGAAAGTTAAGATTGGACTGTAAAAGAAACTGTAAAACACAGAAAGTCAGAAACTTTGAATATAATAAAAGAAATAATATGTTTGAATTGTGCCAGCTTGGTTGGCAGCAGCAACTGTGGTTGCTGAGGGGAGGAGAAGGTGTGTGTGGGGAGGTGACAGCAGCAGATTAAAATATATTTTAATATATACAGGCAGAGTGTTCAGTAGGACCTGGATTGCCAGCACATGAGCCACTGCTAGTTGCTGTGCAGCAGTGAGCAGAATGGAGATCAGGAACTCAGAAAGGAAGGTGAAGTGAACTCAGAAGGTCCCATCATGATCTCCAGAGTGTGCTTGGACCAGAGTGACTGAACTAGGCTCAAAGAAACTTGTGCCTGCAGCATATGGCCTCCAAATACCAAAGAGTAAGAGAGCGCCATTGATGATATTTTAAATTTTAATTTCACAGTTTTATTGGTGTGTTATAGTTGTCATTACAGGTGACATTTGTTGTCATATTCATACAAGCACAATATAGCAATAGAATTCTGTCAATATAATTTCCCAGTATTTCCTTTCTCTCCTCTCCTCCCTCCCCTGGTCTCTTTCCTCTACTCTATAGATCTCCCTTCGATTTTCATGAGACACCTCTACCCATCTTTCTTTACCTTTAAAAGAAAATTCTAAAAAGTAGATATCACATGAACTTGGAAGCTACTGGACCTGTCACTACGACTTAGGACCACTATGATAGAGGCATCTGTTCTAGGCAAAGGGGCCACGTGGAGTTCATGGCAATTCCTCACTGGAAAAGCACAACACAGCCCCTGGAGTCCAGAAGTAAATGCCATTCACAACTGGAAAACGCATACTCTTTCACAGTACCCGCTTTCTGAGGATGGAGGTGGCACTGGGGCACATTTTGATCCATTACCAAGCCATCTAGCTCTCCCCTGTCATCTCGCTCCCTCGCATCCTCCTACCCTTAGTTTTTCGTCTCAGCTCCCTGGGCTCCTTCCCAGGCGTAGGGTGCATAACCTGCTGCGGGGACGTGAGCCGATGGGACGGGGCCCGCAGGGGAGTCTGGAAACCTGAGGAGTGGACAGAGGTGACTCCGTAAGTTCGATCCCGCAACTCACCGGCCGGCGATACCCAAAGAAAGTAGGGCGAAAGCTGAGCCAGGACGCCAAGAAAGAGCACCGCGCAGACAGATCCGGCCATGAATCTGGCGCTGGGGAGAACTGGGAGACCGGCGGCAGCGCACAGAGGCTTTAAAGCCTGAAATCCCCCCCCC